CAATTTGTGGACAGATGTGTATCATGGATGTGGAGCTGAGATGCTTCATCGAACCAATTTCGCTCAGGACCCTTAATTTAGTCATCGGAGAGATGGCTTTCCTCCCAACAGCCTGGCCTGGATGAGGCTTGAAAGGCAACTCCTCTGGTCCACTACACCTTTGCCTTTCCCAGGCCCACTAACTTGTGTGACAGAGACAAGCTTCCAAACGCAAATTGTTGTGGTTAAAGGTTGTGCGGAAACAGATGGAGTGAGTGTCTCCGTGTTTGGATACGTTTCCCATGTCGGTGAGATTGTGGGAGTGCCATTCTCCAGGCTGTGCGAGGAATGACTCCGTCTCCCACACACTCTACTCACAGCCTCATCAATCACTGTGCCTTAGGCACAGACTGAGCCTGTAAAGCTGGCATCGGTGATTTCTGTGTACCCACAGGAAGCTTACTGCCACCCCTCTCACTGCCACCCCTCTCACTGCCACCCCTCTCACCGCCACCCCTCTCATTCCCACCGCTCTCACTGCCCCCCTCTCACTGCCACCCCTCTCACTGCCACCCCTCTCATTCCCACCGCTCTCACTGCCACCCCTCTCACTGCCACCCCTCTCACTGCCACCCCTCTCATTCCCACCCCTCTCACTGCCACCCCTCTCACTGCCACCCCTCTCACTGCCACCCCTCTCACTGCCACCCCTCTCACTGCCACCCCTCTCACTGCCACCCCTCTCACTGCCACCCCTCTCACTGCCACCCCTCTCACTGCCACCCCTCTCACTGCCACCCCTCTCACTGCCACCCCTCTCACTGCCACCCCTCTCACTGCCACTCCTCTCATTCCCACCGCTCTCACTCCCACCGCTCTCACTCCCACCGCTCTCACTCCCACCGCTCTCACTGCCACCCCTCTCACTGCCACCCCTATCATTCCAACCGCTCTCACTCCCACCACTTACTCCCACCGCTCTCACTCCCACCGCTCTCACTGCCACCCCTCTCACTGCCACCCCTCTCACTGCCACCCCTCTCACTGCCACCCCTCTCACTGCCACTCCTCTCACTCCCACCCCTCTCACTGCCACCCCTCTCACTGCCACCCCTCTCACTCCCACCCCTCTCACTGCCACCCCTCTCACTGCCAGCCCTCTCACTCCCACCCCTCTCACTCCCACCGCTCTCACTCCCACCGCTCTCACTGTCACCCCTCTCACTCCCGCTCCTACTACTCGCAACTCTCTCACACACACTCCTGTCACTCTCGCTCCTCGTACAGACTCTAAAACAAAGTTTAGAAGTTCCTCACTTGAACTCAACTTTGCGCAGATATAAAATGATTCCCGTATCTTGAGAAAAGTAGACAAAGCCAAGCTGCTTGTTATCGTATGATGTTACCCACTGGGGTCTCCTACACATCGATTGCCAGCAACAGGGGACCCCGAATTTCACCTGGGCTTAGCCCTGTGAGCCCACTTTCTATGAAAATTGAAGACAGCACAAAATAGCGGAAAATCCTTAAATTGGAAAAGCCCTTTTTTTGTTTAAAAAAAAACTGAAGCCGAATTGAAGGATTTTCCAAAACATTTTTCCACGCCATCTTCAATTTTAAGACAAAAGGGAGGGCAGTTGTGATTTGAGGCTTTTCATCTTTTTATTCTGTGCTTACAATGGCAAACGTTAATGAGTAGTGGATAGCCAGTTGGTAGTTAAAAGTCTCAAGGTATCAGTGTAATAGGGTACTGCTGTTCTCTTAACATGTATTTGAGATGGTCTTTTCATGGTTTGATTGCATTGGCATTGCAAGACTTCCTTCTGGGCATAATTAGATTTTTCCATAGCATTTAACTTTGTCCAATTTAATCAGATTTAAGGAAGCAAAAATGTCATTTCACAAAAGGTTGGACAAAGCGTAAAGTTTAAATAACTGGAGGCTGCAACATAGTGAAGTAATTGCAGAGCTTTGTGTATCTCATGTATGAGCCATTTGTCATAATTAAAAACTGCATTGATTTCGGACCACATCATACAGGAGTTTCTTACATTTATAATAATAACAATAATCTCTGCATTTGAGATGCATTTGAGATGTCTTAAAGCGCTTCACAGTGTTTGCTGTAAAGTGTAGTGTCTGTGTATCTGTAGACGAACATGGCAACCAATTTGCGCACAGCAATGTCCCACAAACAGTCATGAAATGAGACCAATTTCATCTGGGTTGGCCAGGACACCAGGAGAAACTCCCTCCACTTTTCAAATAGTGCCATGGGATCTTTGACGTCCACTTGAACAAGCTTCACAGGCTTAACATCTCAACCAATACTGGGCAAAAGGCCTGGTATGTGATCCTAATAATAATAATAATAATACAACATTTGATACATTTGAGCCTATCTGGGCTGCCCTGAGCAATCAGCTTAGAGAGTCAGTGATTTTAATAATAATCTTTACGTTTGCTACAGCTCCTTATCACATCGTCGAGATGTCTCAAAGTGTTTCAACTACAATAACAAATGACATTTGAAAGCACTTTCCACGTCGGGAGGATGTCACACGGCACAAAATGCAAAGATGGGGTGATGGGTATTCCCTCTCAGACCAATTGCTTTAATAATAATAACAATAATCCTTACATTTGATTCAGTGCTTTATCACGTGTTAGAGACGTCACAAAGCGCTTCACAGAATATACTGCAAAGTGAATTGACTGTATATTTTGTGGGCTTTGCACTTTTTGGGACATGCCACCCCTACCCCTGATGCAGCAAAAGTCACGACTTTCAGAAATCGCAACCGAATCTGATTTACCCGCATCGCACATTACCACCCGAACACGCAGAGTGTTGTTAGGATCATCACCGCGGCGGCAAATTAATAATCGCCGAACCCGTGAACTCAGCATCCAAAGGTTTTCTTTTACATGTCTCCCTTAGACAGCACCTCCATTTCCCTAACGCTTTGAGGCTTTAAATCCTATTCTCCCGCAAAGCGCGTCCAATTTCAGCCGCCTGAACGGTGACCTTTCCAACCCCTGCAGGACTACCAGAACCTTGACGCGGCTACTTTGGTTTGGTGTAGCCCGAGAATTTGCAGAATTAATTAAAACCTCTAACGCCTGCGGACAGGGGAGAACAAAACAACAACCCTGAAGGATCCCAGAGTACATTTCAAAATAGGACGGAGTTATGTCACCAGGCAGTACTGCCTTGGATGAAATGCTACAGGTTCGAACTCTCTGTCTGGCCCTGGCAGAGAATTCATTGCGACTGGCTAATTGCTATTCACAAGACCGCAAAATTGATTCAGATGAAGAAGGCCCTTCGGCCCATTTAATGTCCACCTTCTCGAACACACGGCCTATATCATCGTCCTCTCACAGCATCTTCAACCCGCTTCTTAAATTAGTCTGCCCTCGTCTGCAGATTAATTGCCCGGCAACCTCACTTCATCTTGAGAAACCTTGCCAGGGCTAATTAGCTTCTTTGTTCGCCTATGTCAGCAGTCACTACTGTCCAAAGTAACTCCTCACATGAATCTCTTTGAGACATTTCGAGACGCAAGGCTCTCCAACAAGTCCAAGCAATTTTTTTAAATCTCAGTCCGATCTCTTTAAATTTAATTTTACTTATTTTATTCTTCAAGGAAAATGCTTCCAAAACCTCTCTATTGGGCCAGTTATGCCAAATAACCTCTTAGAAACTAAAAATGTTCATTTTAATTTAGCATCCTCCAGTCCAGTTGTATAGAGTTTAAAAACTACACCTTAAGTCATCGCTAAGCTAAACACAGATGTACTAAACTTGCTGATTGGAGCTAAAAAAAAATCCCTGAGGCTAAATAAATGTGTTTGCTACCTAAAGAGGAGAATTAGCATCGGCACGCAGTACTTTTGCTGAAGGGTGACTGACATAAAAATTGTCAAATTAAAACATATTTTGTCTTTAAAAATATTGTCAGCTACGTTCCCACGCTCTCTGGAAGGAGGTTTGACTTTGTTTACAACAGGATGGTTTGGTTCCACAAACCCAGAACCTCTGCTCACTGAATCTAAACAGAGAAATGTGTTAGAAAAAAATGGAGCGCAAACCCAAAGCGCTCCGGGACGCTATCCCGCGTGAGAGGCGCTATGTGAACGCAACGTTGCTGTTGTTGTCATCAGTAGGAGGCGCAAAACAAAACGCCCACCGGGCAGTATTGTGCGGTCGCAGGCGACATCACTTCCTGTGCTTTGCACACACCATGCGCAGGAAGCGCTCGCTTCCTTCCTGCGTCTCGGCACTTCCTTCAAGGCACAGCGCACAGGAAGTGACATCAGCAGCGCTTCCCGCGCGCGAACGGCACCCGTTGTGCACAACGTGCGGGAGGCCGGCCAGGTCAGCCCCAGAACAAGGAAGTGTACTGCGCTTCTGGTCATAGCACGAGCCCACCCACCCCGCAACTAAACTCGTGTTAAAGCGGGGCCGGGGAACAACGGAGGAAGGGTTGTCCTGCGCTGAAATCAGTTCTATGTGGATGAGTAAAAGAATAATCCTTGCGTTTGGTAGAGCACCTTATCACGTCTTCGAAACGTCTCAAAATGCTTCGGAGAATATACTGTAAAGTGAATTCACTCGCCTGCGAGACAAGCACTCTAGTGACTGAGCTACAGAACTCCACCCATGTATGCACCCATTGCTAGATTAGCATTCAAGGACCCTGAAATGATTTGATATTCCCCTTCCCTATCCCCCTCAGGGACACCGACTGAGAGGCAGGATATCTGTGATATCAGCGAGCTCAGCACCGATCGGGGATTGAACCGAGGATTGTCCTGCGCTGCGAGGCTTGCTGAATAATCTGGGACCTGAACTCACAACAGGTGGTGGAGGGCGGGGAGGTGTGGAAGAGAGAAGGAGGAAAATAGAGGCTATTCAACAATGTTAGACTCATATTTCACAAAAGCTAGCTTACTGTACTAAACATGGTAATACCAAAATATCCGCAATACACTTTATATGTGTGACTTTTTTGCAGAGACCTGGCCCATTGCAATTTCCCTACAGTTCAAAGGTAAGTACCTGTGAAAGCAGCATTGACTAAGACTGCGTCTGTGTGTGAGAGAGAGAGAGAGAGAACTGTACCTCAGTGTGTGAGGATGGATTAGAAGCATTGTGTGCGTGTGTGCAGTTCAGCGGGTAGTTAGTGTGTGCAGCAGGTTTCACTTGGATTGCATTAATCTTAACGAAACACACAATGCTACATTTTTTCCCCGAGTTCTAAAGGAAACGTCTTTGTGATATCTGAGTAGACATTCCTCCCCGTTGTATTGCCGTGGAGCTTATTTCTGTCAATTGCTATTATTTCCCATTTCTCTGTATAGATTTAGTGAGCTCTGAAAGGTTCCCCATCACATTGCCATTTCCCACCCCCCTCTAATCCTTGTTTTTTGTTGGTCCGTGTGTGTGGCTGTTTGGAACTGAGATCTGGTACATCTGTAAACTCTCTCTGACTTGGATATAATCTTGCCTGGTTGGTAGGTCAAGGGAAACTCTTATCACCCTGGGCCAACTAGTTTTCAGCATACGCACTGCGACACTGATTTTTTTTGTCAATGTTACAGCTATAAAGTGACTGAGCATCAGAAATAGCTTTGCCACTGTAATATTAACCTTGAGCTTCTCAAATAAATATGGTGCCAATAATAATCCTCGCAATTGATAATAGCACCTTATCACGTCTTCGCGACGTCTCAAAGCGCTTCCCAGTATATACTGGAAAGTGTAGTGACTGTGTTTTGTGGGCGAAACGCGGCAGCCGATGTGCGCACAGATAAATTGCGACAAATAAATCTAAAACGAATAGGAATTAAAAAAAAGACCCTTGCGTTGCCCTTGAATTTCTGTTTCCTGCCATTTTGTTTCCCTAATTTCTATTATATTGTTCGAAACTTTTATGTCTTTTCAACTTCATACTCCCTGTGGCCTGGTTCTTTTGCTCATATTGACGTCGTTTTTCTGCTGTGTGTTTTCGGGTACTTAAGAGTGAAAGACCAATCTAAGAAGTTTCCAAAATTCTGGCCAGATCTTAAATTCTAAGACAATGAACTTAGGGCTAAGAGTATAACCATTTGCAGGCCTCAAGATCCACTTCTGCTCTCTCTCTCTCTCTCTTTTGGGACTTTATCAGCACTGATCTGATGACAGACTGAATTATTGGCAGGACCTGGAGTGGCAGACCAGTTCGTTGAAATCAGTGATTCTTCCTACTCAGCTTCGGGTCACCCTGCAAGCTACAGCACTAATAACTAGGGTGGTCCTAAGCTGGACAAGGAGCAGAACGCTTGCCAGGCAGTGCTAACGATGGCTGGCTATGCTGCAGTTTTTATTTGGTTATATTCCGCAGTTACCCCAACGCACACTCTTGGCTCTCGCTAGTGCGCAACTGACACGCTCTAGAATTAGATAAGCAGAATGGGCCCCTCCAGGGAGAAAGTGGGTAATAATAACAATAATAATTCTATTTGATATAACGTCTTATCACATCTTCGAGATGTCTCAAAGCGCTTCACAGAATATGCTGTAAAGAGAATTGACTGTTTATTTTGTGGGCGAAACGCTGTGGGCATTCCATTTCAGACACAGGGAAATTTCCACGTGTAGGTGACATACATATAAAGACCTCTGAGTCTGGTTTGGATACGCTTAAACACATTGATGGGTTACCACGTGTGCCAGGCACCCGGCTGACCCAAAAAGTTATGTGACAGCAACCTGGTTTCACCCGATTAATGTCTAAACAAGATTTTCTGGTTTGCAAGCCAGCAGAACGACAGCGGCCTTTTAAGGGAGTTAGAAAGAAAAAAAACTACAGAACGCTTTTCATAATGTGTTTACCCAAAAAATGTGGAATCTCCAAATATGGCATAATTCACTAAGCCGAGTTTGTTTTCCACCTTTTTTGCACTCCCAGGGACGTGCAGAGCTCTCTCTCTTTTTTTCCTGTGCGTTCAATCTCAAACCCCTCAGGGCAAACCTAAATGGAAAGATAAGCATTAATGAGTGAAATGGAAAATTGGTTAATTTGAAGTAAAAGCTATTGAGGCTTGACTAAGTACCTTCTGACTCTGAAAGAGTTCCAGTTGGGGAATAAAATTGATGAAAGAGATAATGCTTTCTGACTCACAAAATGTTACTATTTACATATTCCACCCTGCCACATTTGTGTCCTTACCCATGACAATTGCCCTAACTACTATTGGTTTAGAGTAATGTGTTATTTAATGATCATTCCTAGTTACATTGTTATACCTTGGCCCACAGTGTCCTTCCTGTTAAACATCACCATCTGGTTCTGTGACGGCTTTCTTCTGCCTCCAGAAGTAGCTGAAAGTTTTTTTTTCCGCCAAGCTCCTACTTCCTCATACACGGCACATAGGTGGCCTTCAGCCACTCTGCCCCGTTCCCCCACCCTCTCCCTCCAGATGTCAGGCTGTCAACCTGGCTCCCCAACTATCGCCACCTCTGAGTCGGAAGCTTGTGGGTTCAAACCCCATTTTGAGACTTTGAATAGCAACAGCTCTTTTTTGGGGGCAAGAACATATATATTGGTACAGGCCACCTCACTCCCTTAACCTGTCCACTTTCAAAACCTGTCTAATGACCTATCAATGTAATCACCTCTCTCGATACCCATCTTCATCCCCCATCCCTCTTGGGTCCCCGACCCAACCCTGCGAAGCAGTTTGTGACGTTTTCCTACATGGGAGATAATAATAATAATCCTTACCTTCGAAATAGTGTGTTTCACGTCAGAAGGACATCTCAAACTACTTCGCCAGGATGTAGTGTGAAGTGTAGTGACTGTGTGTTTTGTAGGTGAGCAGTGCTGTACACAAGGGCATGTTGTTCTTCCTGAGTAAAATATTCCAATTTGTGTTTCTGTTCTCGTCTACAAATCAGATGTAAATACTGACAGCCCCTTAGTTCGCATTAAACAGGCAACATAATTATAACAAATCTCTGCCTAATTACCCTTAAGAGTCTTCGCTGACTGACTTATTTGTTCGTGTTTTTTTACTGCAAAGTGGCAATACTCCTGTTAAGCATTTCTTTGTCTATTTCAGTTGTAATCAACTTCACTTCCTATGTCTCTGTGGGGTGAAGGTGGTCAGAGCCTGAAAGGGGTATAACTGTATAGGGCTGAACAACTGTCTCACTCACTGGGACCAAAGGCTCAGCTGGATTTGTGTTGTTTAGCCAAATGGGGTCTAATTTGAGTTATTTCTTCATGGGAATAAGGAGCACTGGTGGAATTCCAGCCATCTAAGGAAACGTCACTCTGGAAATAGAAAGTGAATTAGGCAGCCCTGTTTACTCAGAAAGGAATCCATCCCCTTGAGAAATACTATAAACTAGATTCCATTGGAAGAGTGGGGTAGGGGAGGGAGGTGAGATCTTTCATTGAAACCTTGTTGTTTGGTTCTTCCCAGCAAGAAGACTTCAGACTATGTAACACTGGTATCTTAGACTGTAACCTGCCTTTTAGTCTTGTGGTTGGAGGTTCAGTGTTCGTCTGTGTTTTTTATACTTTCTGACATGTGCAGTATCTTCTTTGTGGACTTGGAGAGAGCTTTGTGAATAGTTAATTTCAAGTAATATGTTTTATACCCAATAATTGACGCCAGTGTGAATGACAGGCTTTGGGAGGGGAGGTTTGAACTCAAGATCATTTGTCTTTTTAGATGATTGCAGATGACACAAGGAAATAGTTTATACTGAGCTTTGTCTTGTTAGTGGGGGAGGGGGAGAAGTATTCTAAAGAGCAATTTGGAGTCACTAGAAGGGAATCCTGTTTGAACCTGGCAGGACATGATGGACGACTCATGAAATTCCCCAAAAGAGAGGTCGGGTTTCCATGGCATGACTGGGACCAAGACAGGGACTCAGATGAAGAGAAATGATATAGAAACCATTGCATATAGTACTTTATCGTGTGATCGAGATGTCACAAAGAGCTTGACAAGATTTTATAGTGAAGTGTTGGGAAAGAGTATTTTATAGACAAATACGGCAGCCAATTTGAGCACGACAACATTACACAAATAGCTCTGAAGTGAATGATCAAATTTAATAGAGAGATTGTCGGCCGGGACACTGGGAGAAACTCCTTTTTCCTTTCGAATAGTGGCACTGAATCTTTAACATCCACCTGAACAGACATAGACAGGAGCTCGGTTTAAAGTCTCGTTGGAAGGACATCACCTCTGACAATATAGAACTACCTCCAGCAGTGTATTGGAGCATCAAACTGGATTGAGACATCTGGATCTAGGATTATCTTATTTGTGTAGCATTATAGAGTGTGGTCCGGAGTTTGTTTAAATGTAATAAACTTCAACATCAGATTCGGAGTTGAATTGATGGAGGCAGGTTTGCAGCTGTAACACTCAGAGAGAGGAGGAGGTAGAGGGGAAGACACTTAGTGAGAGGAAGAGAGCAAAACGAGTATGAAAAGTGTTGAAGTTCTCCTGTGTTCCGATGTGTGATTGTTACATTGCTGGTGCAGTCGCAGGCAAGATTTACTCTCGCGCAATGATGCACACGAACAGACTCACCATGTCGAACGTCACAGCTACACTACGCTGCACATCAGCTGACTCACACAGCTGATGTCTGCAAGGTCACTTTGAGGAGTCTTGAGCTTGAAAGTCATCTGTGGGCCACGGTGAAAGGGCGAGGGCAGAGGGCAGAGGAGAGGAAGAGGGGAACAGATTACTAGGTACAGGAGGTAGAGATTCCACCTGGGTCTCGAATGGCAGTAAACTCACAATAACTCATCATTCTGAGGAGAAAGAACTCAGTGACAAGTTATCAGGAGCGACAAGTTAGACATGTGTACAAATACATAAATAAATGTGGCCGGGATACTGACAATACGATGACTTAGTGGTAGTGAATAGTTAAGTTGGTGTTGAGTTATCAGGAGTTTACTGTACTCTAGTTATGTAGCAATGCAGTGTTCAGAATTTGGCAGATTCAGTCTTATCTTGATAACGTTACTGTATACTTTCCTGGGGTGGAGTTCTGCTCCCCAGCTCTCTGGAACTCCGTCCTAAGGTAACGGCCTGACAGATTGAGATGAGGAAGGCACAGCCAAATGGGTGTTGATGGTTGACCAACACTTTCTGGCTCATTGATGAGACTTGGAGGTGTAGCCATGTCCTCAAAGCTGAGAGTCAAACCCCAGAGAGGACATGTATTACAAAACCTAGTCGTGCCGCACTGGTTACTAGGTAACCCCCAACAGTTATGATCATTTAAATTGAAATTATCCTGAAAACTAGGAATCTATCAAAGTTGCGCCATTTGCATCGCCTTCAAAGTCCCCCAAAGCCTTGCTCCTTCCTACCGCTGTGATTTGCTAACTCCATATTCACCTGTCTGCTCCCTCTGGGCAGCGGGCTCCAGCCACTTCAACGTCCCCTGCCCTCCTCCCCCACTCACCCATCATTGCTGGTCGGGCCTTCAACCTCTCTGCTCCCACCATTTGGAACTCCATCCCACAGTCCCTTGGCCTCACCCACCCCTCCCTCCCTGGCCTCCTTCAAGGCTCGTCTCAAGATCCTCCTCTTCGACCACGTCTTTGGTCACCCTCCTACCTCTACCCTCACTGCACTCCACCCGTCCTGATCCTAACCCCCAGCTCGGGTCCAAATCCCTGACTGTTCAACGCCTTGGGACGTCCTCCCGACATGAAAGGCGCTGTACAAATGTAATTTGTTGTTCAAAGATTTTGTTAGAAAATAGTTATTACGTGGCAACCTTAATACGTCTGTTTTATGAGACGGACACCTTGGTGTTTTGACCCTTCGCCTGAGGGAGAGAGAGGGAGAGAGAGAGAAGGAGGTGGGTTTTTGAGTGAGTTAAGATGCTGTTCCTTTGTTTCAGAAGACAGAAAGCTCTTTGTGGGCATGCTGGGGAAACAGCAAACAGAGGACGATGTTCGAAGGCTCTTTGAACCTTTCGGCTCTATCGAGGAGTGCACCATTCTCAGAGGCCCCGATGGAACCAGCAAAGGTTTGTCCTCCTTTTACCTTTCCGAACCGTCTCCTCATCTTTCCTGCTTCCTGACTCTGGCTGGGGGGATACAGTTCAACAAGAACTACCTGCCATCCAGCACCCCGCCTAAGAGACCAGTCTTCACACGCAACCCTAGCTAAGTAGCGTCATTGGGTTATTTGACTGAGATAGGGAACAGGAAGTCCTGTAGCTCAGTGGTTAGAGCATTCGCCTCGCAAATGAGACGACCTGGGTTCGATTCCCGGGTGGGGTGAAACGTTAGGCAAGTTTCCTTGCTCCATAAGCCTCGGTTTACCTAGCAGTAAGTAGGAATGAAGTTGTTAGTCCATTGTGGATCACTTTTCCGGGAGTAATAATCGCTTCTAAAAAAAACAATGATTATAACTCAGTCACTCAATCCACAACTGTTTATGGCACGCTACTGTGCGCAAATCGGCTGTCGCGTTTCACCCACAATAATATACAGTCAATTCACTTTACAGTATAAATAGGGCGGGGGAGTATATTCTGTGAGCTGCTCTGAGATGTCTCGAAGACGTGATAAGGCGCTTTATCAAACGCACAGATTATTATTATATTATAGGAACCTTGACAACAACAAATTGTATTTCTGTTCTGCTCGTCATATTCGCGTAACATCTTGGAGAGCTTCAAAAGGATGGGGTTGGATCCTGAGCGAGGAGAAGGGGGAGAGTGGGGGGAGGGGGAGGTTGCCGAAAGAGCAGTTGAAAAGGTATATTTTTAGTTGGGATTTAAAGACAAATAGGGAGGGGGAGACATTGTTTTTCCCTCTTCGCTTATAATGTGGCCTCTGAGCTTTTGGAGGCAGAGGATCATGTCAGAATGAGATTCCCCTGGATTTACACCTTCATTGCAAATCCAGGTTAATCCAAATGCAGTCCTGAATTTTAGACTCCAAAGTGTGATTCAGACCTTCACTATAAGGTACTTTGGAAAAAGTTATCGACTGTGAGATTCTTGATATTCTCTTCAGGGTAAATAAGGAAGAGGCTGTGAAACATATTCTGATTTATATTATCTGTTCCCAGCAGTCTGTCTGTTTGTGATAAGGATGTGTCCGAGGAATTTTAAGTGCATTTGGAAGTGACCAAAACCTAACATCTTGGGATGTCCTCCCGATGTGGAAGGCACTACAAAAATGTAGATTTGTATTGTAATGTTAGTCTGCAGTACTTATTGGTCATATTCAGACGAAAAGATAAACATATGCTTTCTTGTTTCTTTCCTGTTTTATATCTTCCAGGCTGTGCGTTTGTAAAATACTCCTCTCACACAGAAGCCCAAGGGGCTATTAATAGCCTTCATGGAAGCCAGACTATGCCAGTAAGTCACTCTATCAGATACCTTGCAGACAATTTGACTGCCAAACACATTGTGCAGTGTGTGAAGATGATAGTTACATCTCTGGTTTTGCCAATGAATGTTTATTACAAAGATACATATTTGGATCACCCCTGATCTCATCTCCCAGAACACACTCCCTACTGTCCTCCGGTTATAATATCAAGCCCTTGAGAAATCTCAGAGACGTGATAAGGCACCATTTCAAAATGCAATTATTATTATTACTCAGGGCGTCCTGAAGTTTTACGTTTCTAGTGTGACCAAGGACGGTGGAGTCCCATTATAACGCTCTAGTTGGGAAGCATTAAATTCCTAACGGGCGCTTTAATACTCCGTGAATGTCTGTGAGCGCATCCATACTCGCTGTGCATGTGCAGCATGCAGGAAGTGACACGGGGGTGATTCTGCAACCCGACTAGCATGATAACGGGACTCGGGTCACACTGAAAATGTAAAACTTCAAGATGTGCCAAGACAGCAGTACAAGACGACACAAGATTAGTGTTGCAAAAGGCAGCTTCAGGTACATGGCACCTTATCTGGTATGTGGGGTGGGTGTGTGTGTGGGGGGGGACCTTGAATGAGGTGATAAAGGCAAACAACAAGCCAGGAACCAGAGCAGAAAGCACAGGGAGAAATTGAAGCACTACATTTTATTAACAAAAGGATGCCGGAGAGTGATTTCAAGGCTATAACCTAACCTTAGAGTCAAGATGACAATTATAAACGGCTCAAGCTGCGTTCTCTCTGCCTACAGCTCCTCGTGAATTCTTTGGGTAAATTATTGCCTTCCAGTCACCTTCAAGTATCCATTATTCTTCAACATAGTGTAGAGCGAGTCAGGGAGTCACGACTGTAAAATATTGCATATGTTTCATAAGAGTTCATAAAACAAGCTCGCACCATTAAGCTCCCGGCTCTGCATTCCTTTCTGTAACCTTTACAAAAGTTGCAAGCGATTCAGGAGGTCTGAGAGACGACGCTTTGCTGAAATGCGAGTGTTAGTGGGCTGAGGGAACGTAAGGCAGGAAGAGTCTCGCATTTGCATTGCTTGGAAGAAGCAGTATAGTCCCTTGGTAGAAAATCTCTTTGATAGTTTATCTTTAAGTTAGGTTTAATCCCCAGGGCTCTGAGTGCCTTTAATTAGGAGAGCAAGCCTGATTTAGTCCACGGTTCAGCCTGGCTTCCTTACCTACTGCAGGAAGCTGCAGAGTCAATAGAACAGTGGAATCTGGCATGGGAAAAATAATTGATTTTCACTTATATGCCAACCTTGATGGAGGTGAAGATGCACTTCCCACGGATAACACGCATTCCCCTTCGGCAAATCGTCATTGGGAATGACGGGAAGCCGAGGCCAGCAGTAGCAGGATAGCAAGAAGAGATTCCCACTGCCTTATATCTTGCCTTCGCTCTCAACTAAGTCATAATTAAGTGAAGAACAAGGGTGTCGACTGCTACCACGCTTGTGGACGTAAGCCTGCAAAATCGCCACACTCTACTGTCAAATCCAAGTGTTTTTGAGGCGTCCTCTTGATGCAAAAGGCTCTGTATCAAATGCAAGGATTATTTTTAACTATTTTGATATCAGCTTTGGCTCAGTTGGCAGCACTCTCACCTCCGAGAGTGGTTCCAGCAAAAGGTTGTGACTGTTTCACAGTCCAGGCTAACGATCCAGTGAGGAGCTGCTTTGTCGGAGGTGACATCCTTCGGACGGGAAGTTAAACCGAGGTCCCTTCTGCCTGTTCAGCCAGATGTTAAAGATCCCATGGCAATATTGGAAAAGAGAAGGCAGTCTCTCTCTCCTGGTGACCTGGCCAACAATCCCCTAAATAAAATTGGTCGTTCACTCCATGACTGTTTGTGGGACATTGATGGGTGCAAATTGGTTGTTGTGTTTGCCTAAAAAATAAACAGTCACTGCACTATAATACATTGAATCCCGTGAAGCACTTTGAGACGTCCTGCTCAAGTAAAAGTCACTGTATCAAATGCAATTCTACAAAGCAGGAGAAAAGTGAAGCAGATAGTGTTTAACAGAGACATAGACCCAGAACAGCAGTTTGTCACAATTCTTTACAGGTCATTTTTCCATTTAACGTTACGATAGCTAATGCACTTCCATTGAATGACATTTAGAGGTGAGGAGGAATGCACCTCAGTCTGTGAGGCATTACAGTTGGACACACTCTCACATTCACTTTCATTGAATAAAGAGTCAACACACACAACCCCTGAGACTGAATTAAAGAGCTCAAAGCGCTCTACAAAAATCATCAGGGAGAAAAAAACATCGGAAGCAAAAGTATTCATTTAATAATAATAATAGTAATAATCCTTTCATTTAATACAGCATATGTCAGGTAGGCCTTTCCAAGCACTTCACGGGATTTACTGTAAAGTGTAGTGACTGTATTCATAGGCAAATCAGCCTCTAATAATAAGCATGTATTATCAATGTCATTGACTGGAGCAAAGAGTTGAAAGAGCTATTTAGGATTAATGTAACAGTTGTGCCTGGTGTGAATGAAGACAGTAGTTCACTGTTAGAATCATAGAACGTGCAACATAAGAATGGGCCATTTGGCTACTACCTGTATTTTGTGAATCGTAATCACTGTTTATTTTGTAGGCGAACATTGCAGCCAATTTGTGTGTAGCATTGTCCCAGAAAGCAGCCACAAAGCGAGTGACCAATATTAGTGGAGGGATCCCCCAAATAAAATTAGTTATTCAATCCACGGCTGTTCGTGGGACATTGCTGTGCGCAAACTGGCTGCCGCATCCGCCCACAAAATATAGTCAAAATCCACTTTACAACATATTCTGTGAAGCGTTTCAAATGTCTCAACGATGTGATAAAGCGCCAAATCAAATGCACAGATTATTATAATTATGACCTTCCGTGTGTTTGGCAAATTCGGTGCACTTAAGTAAAGGTTTTCTATTAAAATTTTCAGTGTTAAAATCACGAGGTGGGAGGTTCTGCAGGGGACGTGGGCAGTGAGGGAGAGGAGCTGTGTTGTTTTCTGAAGGTCCCATGTCCTCTTTCTAGGGTGCGTCGTCCAGCCTGGTGGTGAAATTTGCCGACACAGACAAGGAGCGCACACTCAGGCGCATGCATCAGATGGCAGGGCAGCTCGGCATATTTAATCCCATGGCAATCCAGTTTGGAGCCTACGGAGCCTACACTCAAGCGGTGAGTGACCAAAGTAAAGCCAATGCTTTGGCTGATCACCGCCTCACCTGTTGAGGAAACAGTAAAGCTACACCATGTCAGCCGTCCACTTTATTCAAGGAATAACTGAGAACTGTTCTTGTGTTGTACGGATATTGATATGTATTTTTGTTTGGAGTTACATTGATCGTATTGCATTGCAACAGTGTTCGTTATTTGATTCATTTGGGGTCGAAAATGCAGGTTAAATTAATAGCATATGGACTGACAATGTCCAGAAGCTGGCAGGTTACGTGATTTATATGACAAACCAGCAATAAAGAGGAACATTATCCTGGTATAGATAGATTTGCATGATTACAGGCAGCTGCGTGGATATCACCAAGGCCTATTAGCCCAAGTTTGAGCAAGCCTAAGTTTGAGCACCTCCCCAATTTACCAGCCTCCCTCTTATGTAGTGTCTTGCTGAATTGGGTTGAAGCTGATAGAGTGAAAGATCTTCCCTTCAGCTTCACCCATCAGATATCCTGCCTCCTATCCCATTGGCAGCAGAGCGAGTGACCAGGTGTGGATCCACCGCTGCTTACGTTATTCCATGAGCTCTAAGTTCCGATATGGGGCTTGAACCCATGAAACCGCTTGCCCCAGAGGCCAGAATGTGAGCAACCGCACCCAGGAGAGAGAGGGAGACAGAGCCGCTCGGGATGGTGCAGTGCTCTGGGCCGTGTATTGTGCTTGCCGTGGTAGGTCGGGGGTTGCCATGTGTGATTATGCGGCCAAACTGCAGAGGACTTGGTGTGAAAATCTGCTTTCTTTCTTTCTTCCACCCAGCAGTTAATGCAACAACAGGCAGCCCTGATGGCAGCGGCACAGGGCACCTACCTGAATCCCATGGCTGCCATTGCAGCAGCACAGATGCAGCAGATGGCAGCCTTCAACGTGAACGGACTCGTAGCCACACCGATGACACCATCATCAGGTACGTCCGAGCCCATCGTCTTTGATCTTGTCAGGGACCACACGTCATTGTGCCCACTGACATGTGCGGGTAACTGAACTGTGTCGCTCTCCGTGTTTCAATGAGTAGCTCTGAGTAATATGTTGGTAAACACAACTCAAAGCTACTTGGGAGTGTGTGTGTATGTGTATGTGTGTGTGTATCAGTGTGTGTACATTGGTATGTGCATATCAGTGTGACCCCCATCCTCGCCTGACTCCACTGGCTTCCCATCACACAGAGGATACAGTTCAAGATCCTGGTCCTCACCTTCAAAGACCTCCATGGCCTTGCTCCCCACCCACCGCCTCTGCAATCTCCTAACCCCCTAATCCTGCTCGCTCCTTCCGATCAGAGAGCTATGACCTGCTTCACGTCCCCCGCCTCGCCCGTCCTACCATTGGCGACCGAGCCTTCAGCCACTCTGCCCACACCCTCTGCTCCATCTCGCAGACCCTCTGCCTTGCCACCTCTCTTGCCTCTCCCAAGACCCGGCTCAAGACCCTCCTATTTGACCGTGCCTTCGGTCACCCTCCTTCCCCACACCTTGCTCTCCACCCTCCTCGATCCCGACCCCAGCTTGGATCCGAAAGAATGATTTCCAGCGCCTTGGGACGTCCTCTCGATGTGAAAGGCTCTATAGAAATGTAATTTTGTTGTTTTTGTAACTCAATTTGTGTGTCTGTGTGCATTTCAGAGTGTGTATATCAGCATGTGTGTATCAGTGTGTGAACATCAGTATGTATATATTTTTGTGGGTGTTTAACCTTACAGTATATCCTGTGAAGCGGTTTGAGACATCTCGAAGACGTAATAAGGCACTATATCAAATGCAAGGATTATTATGATTATTATATCAGTGTGGGTATCGGTGTGCGTATCACAGAGTTAAAGCTATGATACCAACTGTCAGGAAAGCCTGTGAATTGTCTTGACGTCCCACAGTTAAATATAACACCGCACTGTGCCAGAAATCCCAAATTCATTTGAGAGCTGCTTTGATGCCGTGATACCCTGTGAGATCCCGAGAACAGGTCAGGAGAAGGCCCTTCAGTCCATGTGATCTCATCCATCGGGGGCACCAGCTTCCCATTACAGCACCAAGCTGCTTCTTGAACTCATTTTTTTTTACTAATAACCAGTTCATCAGCTCCATGTAGAATAAAATGATCACGTGCGTGTGATGTTGAGTTGCTTTGCAATGCTACATCGGATGCCCACACAACAGTGTAATTCAACCACTGCCAATACATCAGTTCGCATCATGTCTACAAGTTCATTTTGGGTCCTGCCTTTATAAAAGAAATGACTAACATCACCTCGAGACAATTGGCTTCTCAGATGAGGAGACCATAGCTAATGAAGGCCAACCATCCTGTCAAATCAGAGACGCATAATTTGTTGACTAATCTCCATTTACTGATTTAAAAATGTGCATTTTAGAGGGATATAAATCTCTGACGGTGTTGGGTGATCGACTGTGTGTATTGCAGTCCTGTGGATCTGAACGCCACACTCCCTTGAACTGTGAAATTTATTTACATCGGCCAGACTTGGAGCGTCCCCGTATAATTATCGGAGAATAATAATAATATTTATAATCCTTGCACTTGATATAGAGGTTTGTCACCTCATTAAAACGTCTCAAAGCACTTCACAGAATATATTGTAAAGTGGAGTGACTGTATATTTTATGGGAGAAATGCACAGCCAATTGCGCACAACAGTGCCCCACAAACAGTTGTGGATTGAGTGACCACCATTTTTATTTTTTGGCAGGATTATTACCCCCGTAAAGCAATCCGCCAATCGAATACCAACTAACTGCTAAGTAAACAGAGACGTGTGGCGTAAGGAAACTTGCCTAAAGTTTTGCCTCACCAGAGAATCGAACCTCAGTCCTCTCGCTTACGAGGCGAGCGCACTAACCACCACGCTACAGGACTCCACAGTCCACAGTGGGAGGGGGGGAGGGAGGGTTGATCAACTGAGTGTGTAACAAACTCAGAAACCCATCGCCATACTTACAAATCTCCCCCCAAAAGTAAGGAACAATTGAGAATTCCCCTGATATGTGGTCCCCATTTGTCAAGACACAGAGTGCGTATTTTCTCCCTGGAAGGACACTGCTTACCTTATCCTGGAGAGTTTAGGTGAGCAGGGTTGTCCACAAGATTGTCCACAAAGGACTATCCTACCTACTAGGGCTTTGGCTTGCAGAATTAACAGGAAACGAAAAGGCAGAGATTCTCCTGTGAATGCTGTTCTGAATGAGGTCTTAGCTTTTCAAAATCACTGCCCTGAATCCAAGCCCTCAGGGGGCTAAAATTAGCACTTCCCATCCCTTTTGCAAATATTGCAAATTAGGACCCGATATGTAGGTTAGGGCAACACATGTCTGAACTTCATTTTAATTATCTTAGCTTTATAGCTGTGCTCCAGTCTGCCTCAACTGCGGCATAACAGTAAGTCTGAAAACTATAATAGGTACATTGACATTTCCGATGTATTGCACGCAAGGAAGTTAATATGATAATATAATCTTACACCATTAATCTCATCGCCAATGCCTGTATTTATAAATAGAATCAGCTGCCTCACAGTACAAGTGAATGGCAGGTACAGTAGTTAAGCAGTTCCAGACTCCCCAAATTCCATCTAATCTTAGTCTGTTATAAGGTCATATTGTCTTAAAATTTACGATTGCTCAGAATCGTGGAAAATTCTTCATTTCGATCTTAATTTCCAAGCCGTTTTTCCGCAGTTTGTAAAGATAAACCAGCTTGTAAATTAGGGTCTGATTGAAGAATTTTCCACGATTCTGTGTTGTCTTACATTTTAAGATAAAATGGTCTTAAACAGGCAAAGACTACAAGGAATTGCTGTGCCTATAGTGTCCTATACTAGTGTGTCAACCTGGTTCAGTTGGTAGAGCTCTCACCTTAGGAGGTCAAGCCCCACTTTGGGACTTGAAACTCATATAATCTAAGATGCCTCTCCAGAATGCTGGGGGTGCACTGCACTGTTGAAGATGCCGTTGTCTGAGATGAGGCATTAAACCAAGGTCCCGTTTGCCTGCTCAGGTGGGCATTAAAGATCTCATGGCACTATTCAAAAAAAAAGAAGGAGGTTTGTCCCAGTATCCTGGCCAACAATCCCCTGAATAAAATTGGTCACTCATGGCTGTTTGTGGGATATTGCAGTGCATAAATTGGCTGCCGTGCTCGCCTACAAAGTACAATCATTACACTTTACAGTAAATCCTGTGAAGTACTTGGAGATGTCCACCCACCATGATAGGGTTATATCAAACTTAAGGATTATTGTTAATACTATCAGGTAAGAGCTGCCTAAATGTTCTGAGATAATGATAATAATAAATATAGCACTTTCTGCTTGATATAGCACCTCATCACATTGTCGAGACGTCTGAAAGCGCTTCACGGAATATACTGTAAAGCGAATTGACTGTATATTTGGTGGGTAAACCCGTCAGCCAATTGTGCACCGAACAGTTGTGCATTGAGCGACCAAATTATTATTATTATTATTGATTGTTTGACATGTTGTAGAAATGCTTGAACACTTGAAAGGCGCTATAAAAATACAAGTTGTTGTTGTACTTTCTTATAGAATGTGCCTTCCTATCTTCTGTAGGCACCAGCACACCGCCTGGAATCAGTGCAGCTGCAGTTCCCAGCATAGCAGCGCCCATCGGAGTCAACGGATTCAGTGCGATGCCACCACAAACCAATGGGCAGCCAACATCAGATGCCATCTACGCCAATGGCATCCATCCATACCCAGGTACGCCACCACAGGGAATTGCCGAGGCTGATCACCAACTTTAGGAGAGTATTTTATCGGAGAAAGTCTCAACGTTGTAAAGGACAGTTGTATTTGTTTTATATTTTTTCAAAGGCAAGAGAAGGTTAGAGAGAGAGATAGGTGGTGGGGGAGAGAGAGGGGGATGTGGGGTGACAAGAGGGAAGGGAAGGGGGTGATTTATGTGGTCATGGAATGAGAATTAGTAATTAGGAATCTAAGGAGAGATGTCACACTGACTCACAAGCTCGGACACGATCAACTACCAGGGCGCAATCCCTGTGCGGCATTCCTCATCACGGAATCTCGCCAATAAATGATGCAAAGCAGGCCATGCGGAGGCAAAGGGAGTTCTTTGTTCACGATAGATGAATAAAGATGAATAAAGAACATATATCACACATTGTGATATAGCAGAGAGCTCCAAACTGAGGTTGGGCTTCAGAAAGACAGAAAGAGAGAGAGTGATTTAATATCCCTACAAATGGAATCATGACAATGCTTGTTCTATTTGTAGCTAGTGAGATATATACACATTCAGATGGTATTTTGAGAGCTTCTTTATGGCTGCTAAATTTATATTGCTTTTGGGACCTCTCTATCTCTCTCTAGGTCTGAAATTCCGTCACCTGTCTTAGTCTGCCTTCAAATGTAAGATTGTGCAGAATTGTGGAAAAATCCTGAAATCGTTTCAAAAAATTTCAGGAAACCATGTGAAAGTGGTTGTATCATGTAACATATGCAGCGCTATTGTACAAACTATTGCCTTGCTGCATCTTTAAACGCTCGATAAGTTATATTCCAAAGGACATGTGCTATTGGCCTGATATCTCTCTCTCTCTTTCTCTCTCTCTCTCTTTGTCTACCTTCTCTGGCTCCATTCTGCTTTAGATGGTATATTCACAGCTCAATGTGCCTGTGTTTAGTGATGAATCTGCCTTATTCATTCTCTGCTTCTCCTTCCTGTTTTCTCCCTAGCCCAAAGTCCAACAGTGGCTGACCCCTTGCAGCAGGCTTACGCAGGCATGCAGCACTATACAGGTCAATAAATAACCTTCCCATTGCATGGTTCATTGTTGACCCATTTGGTCAAATGTTTCTTGATGTAAAGATGTGTGTGGGATTGGCAAGGCAAAGCAGACGACATTGTATTACGTGGGTGCGCTTGTGTCAGAGAAGGAGAGAGTCTTCACTTCCACCTGACACAACGATTGGATCTTGCTCTCGACATATTTCTATGTACTCCTCAGGATAATGCACACCTAGGAATGATTAATAGGCCTCACATCCCTGCAGTGCTTGGGGAGCACTGGATTGTCAGAGGTGCCAACCTGCACATGAGACATTAAACCGTAGTCCCATTTCGTTCAAGTGGATGTTAAAGATATCACGGTGGAATTTCTCTCTCCCGTTGTCCTGGCCAACAAAATTGGTCACACGCTGCTATTTGCCAGACATTGCTGCGTGCAGATTGACTGCCGCGTTTCAACCACAAAAGACACAGTCACATCACAGTATGGTATACCCTGTGAAGCATTTTGAGATGTCTTAACGATGTCTCAAAGATGCTAAATCAACTGCAAGGAGTATTATTATTATAATTATTATCCCATTAAGGCAAAATGTGAATTGATCACTTCAGGTTCATTCCTATGTGCCCATTATTTGCTTCACAGTGAGTAAATAACAAACACTGACGTGTGGAGCTGTATATGTAGATGGCACTCACTAAAGAAATAGCCTTTGATAGCAATCAATCTGCAAATCATTGACTGAAAATAACACAATGTCCTTCTCTTAAAATACTGAACTGCTTTGTGAAGGCTCTAGTTTGGGAGTGATTGATCCTGTCGTGTAGAGGGGGTAAATAAGATTGTTGAGAAGTTGCAGTCACTTGTTTTATTGTAATAATGCCATCAGCTTACAAAGGTTTCACATCTGTCATCACACTCAGAAGTCATATTGCTGTGTCTTTGATCATGGAGGCACTCTGTCAGTTTGCCTATCCTTACGCTGTGTAGATCGCTTCGGGTACATTTCACTCTTCCTCACTGTAAATTTATGTTCTATATATTCTCAGCTTCTCCCTCCCCCAACCAGAATATGTGAATTCTTTAGTTTCCCTCCTCCAATTCATTCATTTAAAAAGCAGCTCTTGATGTTATGATGGGGGGAGGGTGTTCTCGAGGGATGAGATCAGATCGGTCGAAGAGCCTTCTTCATCCGAACCGATCTTGTGACTTTTCTATTTTCCTGCATTTCAGGAAGATAGTTCAGGGGCTCGAATGTTCCCTCCTTTGTCTCCCTCTCGTGGCTGCAACAGAGAGTGTTAGGAGGCCATGGATTGTGGGAGAGCATCACAGCCCTTGCCTGACATTCAATCACGCGCACCTTCCACCAGCTCGGGACAGGGGAGATTGAAAGCGAGAAAGCCCCTCCCAACTGATAACAATTACAGTGACCTAACACCAAGCTCAGCGCCAACATGTTCAGCAGTGTTGTTACGGTCTGGAATGCACTGCCTGAAAGGCTGGTGGAAACAGATTCAATAACAACTTTCGAAAGGGAATACAATAGGTACTTGAAGAGGAAATATTTGCAAAGATATGGAGAAAGAGCGAGGGAGTGGAACTGAATACGTAGCTCTTCCAAAGATCCGGCACAGGCTGTAATATTCTATGATTCTAAAAGATGAATCGAACTTGCGACTTTCTACTCCGACAGTTGGCATTTACACCGCTAAGCCGTTGATGGAAGCTAATACACCCATGAATTAAAATTTGCCACGTAACGTTCAGAGACAGGAGTTGCTTATTTATTGAATAATTTTTTTATATAATAAAAATCCATGCTGGAGGTGGGGGGGGTGTGGGGCGAGGGTGTTATGGGTGGCGGGGGTTGCGCAATGCTGAGGTCCGTGTATAACACTATTCAAATAACAAATACAACATATATAACGAATAACACTGAGCCAGTCAAACTGGCCCATTTGGTGACGGGAAATTGGTTTTGCTCAAAAAAGGCTCTGAGGCACGATGAAAGCTATATTTCTGATGGAAATTCTGAACAGAAGCCTCTGAGCCTCATTCCCCAATGAGGGGATTACCTGCCTTTCAATAGAGAGATTGTGAGCATTGGTGATGAAAGCTCTAAACCCTACAGTAGATATTAACAACAATAACTTGCATTTATATAGCACCCCTAGACTTACAGCATCCCAGAGCGCTTGTCAATGGCAGAGCACGACGCCGAGCCAGGGAGAGGTGCGGAGGTGACTGTAGGCACGCTTGAAGAGGAAGGTTTTCAGGCACGGACTGAAGGACAAGGCAAGATGGAGGGATTGAGGGAGAGAGTTCTAGAGATTCAGGGCATAGTGGCTGAAAGGGATGAAAAAAGCACAAGGGACGAGCCGGAGCCAGACAAGCGGAGCCAATTGGTAGTTGGTTGGCGTCCAATGATCTCAGCCAGGGTAATGGTGGTGTCTACGCTCCAGGTTGCCCCTCACCTAAGGGAAGAGCAAGACTAGAATAGGACCTGCTCCCAATTGCTGCCTATTGACTCTTGACCGAAGGTGTGTGAGTGTGTGGATATCAGGGGAGAGCAGGATCGATGCTCAGTTGTGATGCCTGGTTGACCGTAACTCTCCAGAATGACCCCAGTTCATTGTTGGGTGAGTTACTGAATGAGCCACAGCTCATGGAAAACAAACACCAGAGATGTGAGTCAGAGGAAATCCATTTGCTAATAATTGGGTATTTTAATCTTTACTCTTCAGGAAATGGGTAATTTCTCTCTTGACCACTTGCACCATTATTGAAGCCCTACGGTAATCCTGCCCATGCCATTTAGTAACTCAATGAATGGTGACGATTATCGATGTTCGAATGTGCCAACGAATTGAAGAATGAGACGGATTTATTTTTCCCTTCATTTCCACAGCGGCCTACCCAGCGGCCTACGCTCCGATTAGTCAGGCATTTCCACAGCAACCACCCATAATTCCTCAGCAACAGAGAGAAGGTAAGCCATTACTTCCTTTTGTTCAATTTACTCTTACAATCACTCCTCCAGGGCCTCTCGTAGTCAGGCATCTATTAGTATAAAGTATTGGCAAGCTCCCCAAATAATTGTCCAGCTTGGACCTTCCTGTCCATGAGAGCTTTTGAAGTATTGGGAATGTGCTACGTAGCGCCCTTCATCAACAACAACAACAAGATTCCATTTATAGAGCGCCTTTCACGTCGAGAGGACGTCCCAAGGCGCTGGACAGTTGGGTCAGGACCCGAGCAGGGGGGAAAGTGGGGTAGCTTCACAGTGGGTCTTCACTACACTCCGGTTACACAAGGGCACAGCCTTAATATCACAACCAAGATGGTTAGAACTCAGGAAAGGAAGCATTTCTTCACTCCGATATCCAAATTTGAGTCAACCCTCTGTGGCTGTCTGTGGTCCGGTTCCAGAGCCAGGCAAGTCCACAACACTCCAGCCTGGCTTGTCGGTAGGAAGGGCAGACCAATTTTTGGGGATAAGGGTAGGGACTCTTCCCACTCAGCTCCTGTTAACCCTGTAAGTCAAAGCCCTAACAGGTAGGGTGGTCCTAGCTGGACAAGCAGCAGAAAGCTGGCCAGACAGTTATGGGAATTTCCATACATGGAACTTGCAGTCTAGTTTGGCTACTTGTAAGCATGGTAACGGGTTTAGACATGTGTCAAACACCCACTGACCCCACCCCCCAAAAAAAAGATTTGGATTTTCTCAGTAGTTTCAATATCACTATTTCATTCTTTGTTTCTGACTGTGCCATCTATGCCGTGTCAATGAATGGAATTGCCATCAAAGTCTTTCATCGTGTTGACATTTAGCAATGCGACGGATGGCGATAAATATGTAGGATCTTGCCTTCTTTTGGGGCTGGTTTATGAACCAACCAATTAAGACTGAATCGCTTTAGCTGGTCAAACTCCAGCAGTAACCCCAAAATCACAACCCTTGGCTCTTTTCCAACCAGCGACTAAACTCTCCGGGGTTAGATGATGAAGTGGGATGGGTCCTTCTTCGGAGAGGGTGCGTGCTGCATCCCAGGCAATGAGGCCATGTGTGCGCCGAACGGAAGGAACTCTCGGCAGTTTGGTTTGCGGTAGAAAGGGTTGATACTATCACAGCCTCCCTCACGTGCACATTGAGCAATGTGACGGATGGTGAAGCACACTGAGGGGGGCCCTTCTTTCATATGGGGTTGGGATGTGAACCGAGAGAGGCGCGGGTCAAGATACCTGCCTGTCTGTGAAGAAATGCCTGACGGTGGGTCGGGGGTTGGATCCCTGCCGTTGTGTTTCACGTGCTGTGAAGGGGAATGATTTAATGCTGAATGTCATTGCACCTGAATGCTGCAAATAGCTGACAGCGCCGTTTGTTCTCTCTCCCCACCCCCCAGGACCAGAGGGCTGCAATCTGTTCATCTACCATCTGCCGCAGGAGTTCGGAGACGCTGAACTGATGCAGATGTTCATGCCTTTTGGCAATGTCATCTCTGCTAAAGTCTTTGTTGACCGCGCCACCAACCAAAGTAAATGCTTCGGTGAGTGAAATCCCTTGCTCGGTCGGGCAGCCTTCTTGGGTGGCTTGATATGTCGGGGTGTGGTGGGGGGGTGTGGGTGGGGGGGTGGGCGGGGGGGAGAGGGCAGAGGGAAACAGGTGCAGTGGTAGAGCGGAGGGAGTCCTTTGTAGAAGCAAAGGCAATTATTGCGAGCCTTCTGCTTAGGAATCTTTGACCAGTTGCGATCTCCTCCGCAGCACGTAGTTTTGGGATGCCCAGTTTCTCGTGCGGTGGAATTATTTGATGCAGAAGGCGGTTCTGTTGCCCACACCACAATCACAGTCGCCCACACGCAACTCACGCTCACTCTCGCACGCTCACGCTCACTCTCGCCTGTGGGGTGTGAGGAAAACTTCAGACTTCCACAGCTAAATGCATTGCAGAGCATTGCCATGACTGTCGAGCCGATTTACTTTTAAGTTTTTTTTTAAAAGAGCTTTGATGCGATCGACGCCTGAAATTTCATTACAATTAGCCCTTTAAAATAAAGCCTAGGAAAACCTGGCACTGCAGTGTAGACTAGCTGAGATGCTGTATCTGAGAAGACTATAGCAGTGGCACTGGTGATGGATGAGATCGAATGGGCCAAAGGGATGTCTTCATCCAAAGTTCTCTTGCGATGATGTTGATGTGATAACATTTAAGGACGCAGAGTGACAGGTTAACGTTCTGCAATTCCTAAAGCTTTCAGGGAAAAGGAACCTGACCTCCCAATTTTTTCCAACAACATTATGTAACAGAACCATACTGTAAACTGCTTTTTAGAATCGAAGCTTACCTGGTGCTTTTCCCCTGTTCCTTTCAACCCTACTTGTTCCCTAGGAGACAGTCCTTATTTTGATGACCAGATTCAGTCTTAAAAGATCACAAGATTGATTCGGGTGAGGGAGGCCCTTGGGCCAATTTGATCTCATCCTTGCAGAACACCCACCATACCCATGGTCCTCCTATTACAACATTGAGCAATTTCTCAACCGAGCCCAACCATTCCATGCTGGGGTTAGCTAATCTCCACTGCAAAGAGCACAAAAAAGCCCTGAATCCTTTTATTTTGGATGTAATTTTTACTGTTCCTCCTTCGGTTAATTAGACGAGTGTTGTAGAGTCGTGACATGACGAGTGCAAAGGGATTGGACGGTAAGTGCAATGGGTCAGGGAGCCTTGCATTGAGCAGTGGGCAAGAGTCTCGGTGAGGAGCAATCTATGTGGGCTTTGGCAAATGAAAGCCTGTCATGTGCATTCAGGGATAGTACAGGGATTAACAGGTGATTGACTGGTGACGTGAGATCCGTGTATAAAAATGAGAGTAAAGTTTCTAAGGTTGATCATGTTGTTCGAATTTTGAGATCAAAATCGCAGCTTCACTCTCACTTCTCTGTAAAACATTACATTTCTGGATCAAATCTCCCACCGCTTCTTCAGAAAGACTCTGACTCTTTCTCAAACAATAACAGAAGTCGCTGGAAACACTCAGCAGGTCAGGCAGCATCTACGGAGAGAGGAAAATGAGTTAACATTTCAGGTCGATGACCTTTCGTGAGTTTGGACGGAAGGTTATTGATCTGAAACTTTAACTCATTTTTCTCTCCATAGATGCTGCCTGACCTGCTGCGTGTTCCCAGCGACTCCTGTTTTTATTTCAGGTTTCCAGCATCTGCAATACTTTGCCTTTTGTTTCTGAATCTTTCTCCTCCTATCGAGGTGTCGTTCCACCACCCCTGCCATTCAGACGTGAGCCTTGCCGTTGAGTTTCCGCAGGCTATTCGCATGGAAAGGGGGCGAGGAGGAGGTGGCGAAAGGGAAGGTGGTGTGGGGGGGAAGTTGGGGTTCCTGAGTCACCACTGAAAATCAGGCACACTGACTTGCTCCAGTGACCATCACTGCAAGGAACATTGTGCTTGATTGGGATCGGCTGCGACACTACTCTCCTATCTCCTCCCCTCTACGCTGCAACATTTGTGATATTGAATAACCTCCCTCTACCCCCCTGCCCTCCACCCCTCTCTGATCCCAGCCCGCAGCAAACCCCCTCATTGTCCAACACCTTGGGACGTCCTCCTAATGTGAAAGGCACTGCACAAATGCAATCAAAGGCTCAATCTTAAACATTGACCGCTCGCTTGGGCAAAACCCTGTGTCCTTAGATCTGAATCCCCTGAGATGACAATAGGAGCAGAGGACTCTGGGGAAGGAAGAGGAAACTAGCGGAGAGAGAGGATGGAAAAATAAATGTGTCTGGTTCCTGCCAGTGCATCCGAGGTCACCTAACATGATCCCTGATCAGTCAGATCACCGTGGTGATTTGTAACTTACTTATAAACACAGATTACAAACCACAAATTGCATAACAACAAGGAAGATATAGCTTTTCACTTGATCGGCTTGGTGTTGCCGTATGCGGAAACCTTCACAGGATTGATACTGTGCAGTGTAGTGACTGTGCGATTGATTGTAGGTGATGTATCTTATAAGCACTGAAGGCAGAAGGTTTTTTGATGAACTTTGATCTATATACTCCTAGCCTATTTGCGTTTGATTTCCTCTTGGCTTAGTTGCTAAGATTAATATTTGTTCCTTTTTCTTATCATTTATAACTGGCTGTGGTTGTTTGGAGCTGGATTGGTCTGTCGTTCGATGTTCTGGGATTCATGGCCGGGTGGGGAATGCTCCTGGCTGGAATTTGGCCTGTGACTGCAGGTTGTAGCTGTGGACTGCTGTGAGGTGAATGGGGAAATGAGAGCAATGAGGAAGAAACAGCATTCGGAAAATAGCTGGAAAAAGACAAGGGAACAGAAGTCTACAAGTTTATAGCACAGAATGAGCTATTGAAAAGAGCTATCCATTTGCAATAATCCTTACAATAATAATAATCCTTGCATTTGATCTCATGCCTTCTCAAAACGCTTCACAGAATATACTGTAAAGTGAATTGATTGTATATTTTCTGGGCAAAATGCAGCAGCCAATTGCACACAGCAGTAGCGTCCCACAAACAGTGGTGAATTGAGTGATCAAATTATTATTATTATTTGAAACAAGAATGATAATTATAATAATACTTAATAATAATAACAATCCTTGTATTTGGTATAGCGCCTTATCATGTCACTGAGGCATCTCAAAGAGCTTCACAGAATATAATGTACAGTGGATTGACCGTATTTTGTGGGTGAAACACAGCTGCCAATTCCACACAAAGTTGGGATTGAGTGATTTTTTTTTTAGGAATTATTACCCCTGGAAAGTGATCCGCCAATCGACTAACAACCAGGTTCTACTCACAGAGGCGTGTAGGGTTACAAAACTTGCCTAAGCTTTCACTCGGCCCGGAAATTGCATTTGGTATAGTGCCATTCACATCAGGAAGCACTTCGCAGGATGTATAGTGTAGTGACTGTTTATTTTGGAAGCAAATGAGGCCAACGATTTGCACACGGCTACAATGTGAATGACCAGTATTATCTGTGGAATTTTTAGACAAGACACCAGGAGAAACACGCCTCTCTTTTCCTATAGTAGTGTCATCGGGATCTGGAGCACCAGCCTAGAGACTGTCACCTCAAAGTCCTGATATGGCTTGAACCCACAATTTTCTGATTCAGAAGTGCGAGTGCTACCGACTGAGCCAAGCTTCGTCCCATTCTCCTAACTTTTCCTCCGTACCTAGAAGAAAGCTTGACTGTATTACACATTCAACCAAATTGTGCAAGCACATTACAGTAACTCTTCCACTTTTCCCTTGTCTTACGGTGAACAGTGAAGTCATAATCAGCTCCATCTGAGTTTATATCATTTATAAATCATCATCTGGCAGAACAAGAAGGATTAAGGGAAAAATGACCCTATAATCCTTGTATATGCTGTAGTTGAGACACTAATCCAAGATCCCACCTGCCTGTTCAGGTGAACGTAAAAGATCCTACAACACTCTTCGAAAAGAGAAGGGAATTTCTCTCTCCCGGTATCCTGGCTAACAATCCATCCAAATAAAACCGCTCATTCACTTCATGACTGTTTATGCGACATCAGTGTGCGCAAATCATGTGCCACGTTCTCCTGCGAATTACACGGTCACTACACTTAAAGCCTGCGAAGGCCTTTGAGACATCCTCCTGACATGAAACGCATCACTTTGCAAGAACTTTTTCGAAAGTATTTTTGGTTAACCCATCCCAGTCCACAGTTTTCACCTCTTGTGTCACCGTTGAATAAATCAACAAAAAGGCACAGTAGAAAACCACCCTCATATTTTACCGCCCTTGCCCCTCTTTAAGAAGACATTAAGCTTGAGAACCTTAATCGGCATTGCACTCATGAGGATTAATAGTAAGATTAATTGCTGGTTTATCTAAAAATGAGTACACAGCAGGACTTACTGTTAAGTGCAGAGATTAATCACTATAGAAACAGAGGCTGTAAGCACTACACACAAAGGCAGAGCTGCTACAAAAACAGTATTTGGGGGCTCGGTCCACTTGAGAAACGATGATTTTGCAAGCTCCGAAGTCTCTCTCACAAGCTCCTGGCATTGATTGGTTTCTGCTATTTGTACTGAAACATTCATTTCACTTCATGGCTGTTTGGGGTCGTTGCTGTGCACAAATTGGCTGCCACATTTGCCTACCATACCAAAAATACAGTCACTCCGCTTTACACTGTATCCTGTGAAGCACTTTGAGATGTTTTGACGGCGTGATAAGGCGCTGCATTAAATTAGGCATTATTATTATTATTATTCTCTTTTTATAAAGGAATTGGGTGTTGCATTAGGTTAGCGTATTGAATTCCCTTCTCTTATAGCCCAGTGAGTTTTTCAGTGAGTAGCTGAGCCACACAGATGGTGAGGGCCACAGAGTGAGGTTAGCTCTGAGGCTGACCTCAGCTGCGTGGCAAAAGGGGAGATTGGCTTCGGTACCTTATGTTAGGCCGGAGAAGTCAGACAACTTTGGGTGATCTCCTCTGGAAGGTGCGTGATATCGGTG